ATAATATATATGTAATATTATAAAAAGAACGTTCAACATTTTTTAAAACATTATTTAAAATACCGTCATTTGAGGTAACTTAGAATACCGGGGTAACTCTGAACAATTGCAACGGTTTACAAAAACATGTGGCATCATTAAACGTGTAGAAGTAGAACTTTCATATCAGCGATATAAAAGTTACCCCAAATGACGGTATATTATTGTCCTTGAAATAAAATAATTTTTGTCAATTTATGCTTGATTTTGGCTCATTAATTTTCCCTCATAATTCATAACAATTTTAACATAATTTTCTATAATTAATTTTGTCATGAAGTATTTGTGGTTTTCAAGAAAGTCTAAAGCGTCTTCTACAATGGCAGTAGGAGTAGTAGTAAGAAATAAGCAGTAAGTAAATTGACCAATTCCATTCTTACGTTTCAAAAATAATCGATTGTGATTGGTCTATTTACTTACTGCTTATTTCTTACTACTACTCCTACTGCCATTGTAGAAGACGCTTAATTCTTTTTATTACTTCTACTATACTATTACGTTTTTCCAATACGTATCACCATATGATATGCGGATATTAGAAGCGTTTCCCAGATAGCACAAGATCTCCTGAGGACGTCCTAAGGACGTCCTGAGGATGAAGAATGTCCTCAGGATGTCCTCGGGATGTCCTCTGGATGTCCCCTGGATCTGTGCTATTAAGGGACGTCTACATTGGAAGTAAGCAGTAAGAAGTAGGAAGTAAGAATAAGAAATTGACCAATCATAGTTAATTATTCTTCTCACATTCGACTGTGGTTGGTCAATTTCTTACTCTTACTTCCTACTTCTTGCTATTTACTTCCAATGTAGACGTCCCTTTAGGGTTACGTTGCCAACTCTGTTTTACTCTACTGAGTTGCTTCTTTTGCCGTTGTTTGATCCTGGCGGCGCCACAGATATTGACAGACGCTTAGAATCACCGCTAGCAGTCCATAGTTATATAGTCAAAGCTCAAGACTATGGCCGGTATTCATAATCAGATCTTATATTTAAGATCAACTTAAGTACTGTCTTAAGATGTCATGAACCAATCACAGAGCCGTATTCGCATCTTAAGACATTACTTAAGACGATCTTGAAATAAGATTCGACTATGAATACCGGCCTATATCTTTGCGTTAGGCTGAGAACTTCTCCTGTACGCGACGTATAGCCCAGACATGGCACCTTCCGATTACTACCCATTCCAGTCGCTGCAGCATCAGGCTAATACACATTTCGTGAAATTTGAAGAGATACGAAAATGCATTGATGACTATCGCTTCGAAGCCGGTGAGCTTCTATCGTTAAGGAATTCCTAAGCTACCTGAAAGATACTAAAAGATCATTGATGCAAACGGGGAATATTTCGCTGATTAATATTTTTTTGTTTGTTTTTGAGTAAAGATTAAATTTTGCAAAAAAAGCTCAGAACTTTTTGGTTCACCTAATAATAACGAATCCCTAAACTCAATGATTTAGATATTTTCACCGAAGCACATGCATTTCGGCAAAACTATAATCGACGTAGTTACTTACTTGGTTGTGTGCACTTTTAACGATGGTTTCAACAAGATGGCTTCAAACAGATGCTTATTCATCTTTCCCATATTGTGTATCTTTTCAAACAGATGCTTATTAGTCTTTTCCATATTGTGTATCAATAGATGCTTCGAGTCCTGTTCCTGCGACGAGGAGTACATACAGCGAGATGCGAGATATAGGTCCAAGGAAAAATTGTCATTTGCGATTTAAAGTACATCTTTAGCAAGTGCAGCATCCTCATGGGAACAACTGCCTTCCGTATCCTGTAAATAAAAAAGTATTTTAGAAAACTTTAGAATAAATACTGCTTGGAACTGATTTTTTTGCTCTACAAAAATATCTAAAGTTTCAAGTTTTTCAACTAAGTTAATTCATTCATTATATCTATGTATTGTTTTGCTATTTTTCTGTAGGTAAGCTGAACACAAAAAAAGATTAAAATCAGAAAAGTAATTCTTACTGCTCAGTCTTCCCGCCAGTTGCCCTTCCTCGTACTCCCGGGGGTGTCTCGCAGGTGCATTGCGTTGAAGACTCCTAGTGGTAATTCTCCATTTGCATGTCCAGTTGCGAATGATCGCGTGCCTGCTCGATCTGAGGTGGCCCTGAGCGGCATTGGTTCATCCAACAGATCAGATATGGTGCTCCCATTTCATATTAATATTGATTCGTCTAATAAGAAGTTTTACTCTTCTTTGCTGAATTCCAAAAATCCTATAGATAAGTCCTTATTTAATTATTTATTTTTCATTTTGCCACTCCTTCATTCCGTATCATTGAAAATGTAGTTAAAACATTTTCTGCATTTCTCTCAAAATTCCATCCTAATCGATTTTATCTTATTTATTCAAAGTCAGTTATGTCACTGGTAAATGTTTAGGACGTGCCAATGAATCTCGCCATTGCAATGCTACCTTTAAAGCAGAGTTTAACTGGTCCACTTGGATTTTTTCGCATTCAAGTTTCTTCCGAAAATCTCTCCATCTTTTAATCTCATCCTCTGTCAAAAATTTACTTCCATTTTCAACTAGTTCATCTAATTGAACCAGCGAAGTAATTTCATTATTATTCCTCGTATTATCTAAGATCTTTTGTCGAACAAATAACTTGACACTTTGGGTTAATTCTCCTACGTATAAAATATGAAGGATATGATCCTTTTCCTTAATTTCTTCCTTAATTTTTTCATTCATCTTTTCCATATTTTTTATAATTTCATCCTTTTCCTTGATTCTCTGTTCCATACGATATATCCTTTCAATCATATCATTTGTCTTTTTCATATTGTACATCTTTTCAAACAGATCCTTATTAGTCGCGTGAATAATGCCGGAAGCGCGGCAGAAACTAAGTACTCGGTGAGAACTTAGAAGTGGATGTGACTCGCGTGCGGAGTCGCAAGCGCGACAGTAACGAGTCCTGTCGAACGATGCACGGATATCTGCAGTGCGTGAGATAACGCAAAGAGAAGCAATTTGTGGTGGAGGCTCCAAAGTAATCCGAGAAGATCTCGCAAACTCTTCTCTCAATCACAGATAATATCGAGAAGGTGGAATAATAGAATAGCTTTTCAATGGAGAATTGAATTCCAAATTTAGGAAGCTGTTCTTCTATTGGATATTAGACGTCATACGTCGGACATCGGATGCGGTGTGAATCCTGGATTAGTTACACTAACAAATTCAAACGGCGCACAATTAACAAGCGTTGTTCACGAGCCGACGGCGGTTGCGTCCGACGGCGACGACGCTCGCCCACCAGCGATAGCAAGCGAGCGCTCGGAATCGGCTTCTCCTCACGGAGAAACAACGCGGCAATGGACAAGCCGCGAGCGATTAACGACGTGTACTTACTTTGAAGCAGCAGCGAATTCACTCTGCTTTCTGGGTCTTGCGAGGCTCTGGAAGCTCTGTATATCAGTTGGACACGGGGCAATTGGATACAGTCCAATCACAAGTCGCTGTTCCAAGGGACCCTACAAATGTCTCTAATCACACGGTGCTGTGATTGGCTGTGTCCAAATGCACCGTATCCAAGTGCACCGCTCCCTCTGGAAGCGATAACGCGAACGCGAGACGTGCGCGAGCCCACACTGAGATACACTGAGAAACTACTTGGCGATACCTTTTAAGAGCGTTAAGGAATCCTTCAAAGGAGCGTGATAACAGGCACACGCGATTCCTCGGCCCGCGCCCGCTTCCGATTCGCGGAATCGATGTTTTTGTCCGAATTGCCTTGGAAACTCAGCAAAACACTTAACGTATAAGATTTGCGCACGGCACGCGTCGCGAGATAAGATGCTCACGTTAAGATTACGTGCTTCGACGTGATCGCTTGACAAGACGAATCGGCGAAACAATCTGTTCGATTCCCGAACAAAGTTTCTTCCGAAAATCTCTCCATCTTTTAATCTCATCCTCTGTCAAAAATTTACTTCCTTTTTCAATCATTTTATCTAATTGAACCAGGGAAGTCATTTCTTTATTATCCTTTGAATTATCTAAGATCTTCAGTCGAATAAATAACTTGATACTTTGGGCTAATTCTCCCACGTATAAAATATGAAGAATATGATCCTTTTCCTTAATCGTTTTTTCCATATTGTTTTGTCCATATTTTCCATCTTTTTAAACACAGATTATTCGTCTTTTCCATATTTTGTATAATTTCATCCTTTTCCTTAATCGTCTTTTCTATATTGTGTAATTGGTTCGGTGAATGAATTGGTTTTGTGAATGATTCGGTTAAGTTGTTAGTTTTATTTAATTTTTTCATTTTATTCCATTGCATGCTAACTTTAAGGGGATGCGGGAGCGAGCGACGAACTTGATAAGCACTGATAATGTAGAGCGATCGCCAAAAAGTAGAAAACGTTATCTTCATTTACCGACGATATCGAATTTATATAAACATATAATGGGCGAGTTTTTTAATTCATCGATGAATCCATTTATGAATTAAAAAACTCGTCTATACTTATAGAATAAAGATGATCGTCAAATAGGCGCTAACATGATACCGCTATATCCTTTCACAAATGTTATGCAAGTGTGTGTGCTACATTGTCATTTCAATTTTCTTACACATAGACATTACATAAGTGTGAACGCTACTTTGACGACATTCACATTCTTTTCAAAACAGGCTTCTACTGCTTTTCTGATAAATTTTTCAAACCGCTTATGTACTGGGTGCATCAAAGAAAAATTTTTAGAAAAGAGTGTTGTAGGCGCAAACGTAGTTTGCGAATAATATTTTGAAAAATACCTATTATTTGAGACTTCAATATAATTAGCAACGGTAATTTAAAGATATCTTTTTTATTTCGCACTGACCAATGTTACACTTTATTTTCGCACGTAATTTTACCATATAAATTGGAGCAGTTAGTAAACTATAATTATTGAAAAATGAAGTCAGTGTCACGATAGTAGTAGTTCCACATCGTTTTCATCCTTGAAAGAGGAATGTCCTATTTCATTTATACCTGTATCTTTACTATACAAAAGCATTTTTAATTTGGTCAAGTCAACAAATTAAAATTTGTTGGGAAATGTTGACGTGATACGGAATACATTTGCGAAATTATTGTTTCGTGCTAATTGGACCAAAGTAAAAACCATTTTGCATTGTAAAATTACATGTGAAAATGAAGCAGCACATCCAAAAATATGAGACGAAAACGATAATGCACTATTACTATCACGAAATCGAATCATTCTACAAAGTTTACTTCTTTCTACTTGTGTCGAATTAAAAATCCTTTTGCAGGGTGAAAATATGTGTGAAAATACAGTGGAGTATCCATCAATATGAAATGAAAACGATAATGCACAGTTACAATCACGAAATCGAATCTTTTTGCAAAGTTTACTTCTTTCTACCTGCGCCGAATTAAAAATCCTTTTGCATGGTGAAAGTACGTGCGAAAATAAAGCGGAGCATCCACTAATATGAGACGAAAACGATAATGCACTCTCTTAAAATAAATCAGTAAAACCTCCCTGAAAACAGTGAATATATACTGATTTGCAGTTATAAATGTTGCACTGAAAGAGCTCAGTGCTATACTTAAAACTGATATCAGTGACTATTCACTGATTCACTTTAAGAGAGCACAGTTACTATCACGAAATCAAATCTTTCTGCAAAGTTTACTTCTTTCTACCTGCGTCAAATTAAAAACCCTTTTGCGTGGTGAAAATACGTGCGAAAATAAAGCGGAGCATCCATCAATATGAGACGAAAACGATAATCGTGAACTAATTTTTCGCTCTACTTTATTGTTACGTCCTGCAGGAGAACGCAACGTAATAAAAGCCTCGCCTGTATTTATAGGTCGAAGAGCGAGTCAGCGACCAGAAGGGTCGCTTTACTAGCACAACAATGTACGGGGAGCGGTCCAATTTTGAGTCAGAGATCTGAATCTTTTTACTCGGGGCTGGTCCTCGAGTGATAATAGGAGAGGACGAGTTAAGAAAAAAATTAAATTTTTTTATAAATGGAAAAAATATGATTTATTTGTAACTACAACTTAATACTGTGTGCGTGTGGGTATTAGCGATCCGTGTGTGTGGGTAGTCGGAGGATAGGTGGCGGTTCTCTTGCTTAAATTTAGAGAAAGTAAAGAGCGAATAATTTAATCGTTTTGTTTTCAGTTTTTATAATTTTTAAACACGGCTCCTATTAATTATACTATTAATAACCCTTCTACCAAAGCTCTTAAAATCGTTCAGTGGAACGTTCGCTCTCTCTTTGCTAGCCCAGTCAACACGCTTGTCAGAATGGGAACTCAAAGATAACTTTTTTAAAAACGCATTTTAATATCTCGGAAATGATATCTAAATAGTATCTGATAATCATTATTTACTGGAAATATCTATGAATCATTATTTACTAGAAATATCTATGAAGAGAGCTCTTAAAGTTATCACATTTCAGAGATCTCTTGAAAATGTTATCTTTACGATATCATGCCAAATGATAGCAGTTTGATCTGTCATGAAAGATATAACGTCTTTTGTTTCTGAGCAGTTCAAATGCGTATATGATATTGCAGTACATGGAAGCTTCGAAAACAATATTATGATGTGAATATTCTGAATGTATAAATATTCATATTGTAGATTCTGAGGATATTTATTGAACATTTGTGCTGTCTGGGATTATATAGAATATTTGTAATGGTAAATTGTACAGATAATATATTGTGCCTTATCTATAAAGTTATTTGTATTAGTGCCAGTAATAGAATATAGAAGAGTTGCAGAGAAATAAGTAAATATTTTGGATGCTGTAATCTTTATGTGTATTTAAGATATCTGAACGAAAAAGATTTAGAAGCGCCAACGAAATCGAAGAGCTAACAACATCGGAGAATTCATAAAATCTACAAAGCAACATGCAGTTCAAATGAAGAAACAATTAATGAAATGTTTCCTGTTAATTCACCATCAAAAGAAAATAATTCATTTATTGAAACAGTAACAATGGTAATACATGTTTTATAAAATATGTGAAAGTAAAAATAATTATCCAAGTCTGTATTCCACTAATATATGACAATATTCTACTTTATTTCATTTTATGTTATTATAGATCTTTCATGCACTACGTGAAATACATCAAAAGGGTCTTCAGGGCTAGCCATCAGCAGTATTGTTGCAACAAGTGATTCTTAATATATGAAATTATATGTTTTTGTTGTACATAATCTGTCTATTCTTTCTATGATATTTCATTATAAATTTTAATTTATACACATATCATTACTTGCAGGGATTTTACGTTGTACAAACCACAGTCCACAACGGAAGAATGACAATAATCAACACATACAAGATAATCCCAGGACAAACACAGACATAAAACAAAGAGCAGATAAACAGACGTTGAAATACAGATGTCAAATATAAACATCTGAACATAATCAGAAGCAAGAAATAGAAAGTCATCATCGTGAAGTAAGTATCAATAAAGTAAAACCCCAGTTATAATTTTTCAAAACAGACTAAACAAACAATTTCATAAACATTTTTTCTGTATAATCTCAATAAGTTTTCTTTAAATTTATTTATTATTCTGACATCCGACGTTGTACAGCTTTGTGCTATTTTCCAAATATCTTTGAATGGTATCGCACTCATGTAGACTATTTCAAGAAATCTGTAGGATATAGCATACCTGTGTATATAGTACAGTTGTGTTATATGGATATTCAGTAATTTTATTGTAAATTTTATGAAATTTGACAGTATTATGACAAAATGTCATAACAATACTTTTCGTCTTTCTCTATCGTACTGATCAATTATTTGAATTGTATTTGGAAGTAATGAAATAGAATGAAATTGTTTCGTACAAGTTTTACAGACAGAGTAATATTTTCGACACATTAACTATTGTCTTGAAAATATGTTAAGTATTTGAAATAGATTACAATAAATCATAAAGTAATATAAAATAACGCGAATAACAAGGAAAATCTAAATAAACAACAGAAAGTGAAAAAGAAGAAAGTATTGAAACAATAGTATTTCTTTTTACCATAATACAATTTGCTATAATACTTCGAGTAGTGTTCACGTGGACAATGATGTATATTTGACATTTTCATCCGTTTACATTTTCGCTCTTTAATTATACTTATTTATTACAATATCACAAAATATATGAATTATTATGTTTGCAAATATAATTATTGTGTATTAACAATTTTATTATTTACTAATAGAAATTGTAGAATTAGTTCCTTAAAATTGCAAACTTATTATTTATATTGCAAATGTTTTCCATATAGAAGTTTGTCGGAACGACATTAAAATGATTTTGCGTACAGTGATATCCATGAGACAAATACTCTTAGATTCAAATTTAAACCAAGTATAAGGAAAAGAGATAGATTTGGGTTTGCCGATTTTTACTGTGGAAAGATTAAACGAATTTAATAAGACACTATCTGAAAATCTTGCTGCTCGATTGCATTATGTAAGTATTATTTACTACTAAAACTTTATTACATTACAATTAACCCTGATAGACATTTATTACTGACCAATTGATCATAGTCGGTATTACATTTCTATAAGAAAAATATAAGTAGATGATTGGAAACAACTTCTTGTTTTTGAAGATATGTAATCCTGACTATTTTGAGACGACTTTTCCTCTTACAACATTATATCTACAACCGTTTTTTTTATAATGAAAAAAACCACTTTGCTTTTTACAGGCGATAGACATTGACAATGCAACTCATGGTCAGATTCTACAGCTGACAGACATAAACACCCATGTCTGAGTTGCGCCGCCACTGCCTATCTCCTGTATCTGTACTATAATATGCAAACTAAATACACTTACTGTTTATCATATAAAAACTAGACAACGTTTGGACAACGTTTTGTACGTTTCAGAATCTAGTCTGAATTATGTATTTCCAAGGACATCAGGTTGTTTTCAATCATCCTGTATAACTTGTGTTTTAAGTTGAAACATACAATATGATTCAAGTATCTAAAAAAATGTACATAGACGCACGATTGTCATTATATACCGCAATTGAATCGTAGAACTATAATCTATTATATTTATGGAGATGATTCTGCCTGTTGGAATTAATTATTAAATAGACAACATGCTGGAATGAAATGTTTTTTTCATTTTCATGTAACAATAAATTGACTAAATGCTATTTTAAATATTAATTAAATTCTGATAGTTTTTTTTGTATATCTATTGTTTCATTATATGTTGCATCTATGACTGGCACGTAACTAACTCATAAGGGATGTAACGTTTACATCCATGCATTGTGTGATTTAATATCAGTATAATTGTTATCAAATGTAGGTTCGTTTGTCTATCTGGGTATACCAAAAATGTGTATTACATAACCTCTATATAAAACACCTTATATATCTTGAAATGACAATAGTATTATGTGGCAGAGCTCGGCAAGAGATACATTTTACATGCTAGACGACAAGGCAAGGGGAACAACACTGGGTGGACGTTCCCTAAAATTGACTGAAAGGTGTATCGTTTGCCGAACTTTGTTATATAGACAAAGATAAATAATTTTTTTACGATTATACCATCTAATTTATTTCCTTTTCCTGTTGCTTCGAATTTTCTTTTTTCTTAGATGGACTTCTTCATATCTAAAAACATAAATTTCATAGTTTTGACACTTTGTTACTGTGTGTATAAAACATTTTGAATGTAGTATAAACGTTAATAATAATGTTAATAATAATGTAGGATAAAATTACTAATAGTAAAAGTTCCATGTGAAAATAATATTTTATTGCTGTCAGTACTATTTTTGTAATACTTTAGAAACCAATTATACTTATATGTTATCATATAATTAATTTGTACAATTTGTCCAAAGATATAATTGCTGATTCCTATCTTTTGGTAATTTTTATTCATTAATATGTGCGTTTTTTTATAGTATCATTGTACTTCAAAATTATTTATGTTACTCCAGACACAACAAATCAAGTAATAAGACGTTTGTAAGACATCTGTGACAATATCTTATAAACTTGCCTTAAAAATATCTTAAAAACATTTTATGACCCGATTTTGGACATTGTGCTGTCTTCGACTTTACACTTTACGACTTTAATACAAATTACAATATGAACATATTTTGTATATTCACAGCAAAAAATGATTCGAACAATAGGAGGTATAACTCCACATAAACATGTACGAAACGCTATGAATTTAACGATAGCTGATATGTTAGCTTATCGCATGACATGGATTGGTTATAAACATAACCCAGATAGAAAAATGTGTTCATTCTGAGCTCATATTGTATTCATGTATCTTCAAGTATGAGGACAATAATAAACACCGATGTGGGCTCATATGCGCCTCAGAATGTAGATATGTTATGATGTCACAAAAATATCTCATTTAATAATAATAATCAACATCATGTCATGAATTTGCAATACAATTTGTACATCATCTGTGTGCATCTGGTGCTCATGTCATAAGATCACGTAATGATCTTTAAAAAAGTATCAAATTGGAATCATAGTATAAAGTCACATTGTGATGAAACATGATCATCACGCATTTCTATCTGGGAAGATTGAAACTCGGAGCATGCAATTTATTAAACTCATTACTGATATTTGGTTCATTTCCTATTTGTTTCTTTGTGGAAATATGTCAGAATTAAACGACTTTTGTATTACCTGTAATTTTTACGATAACATAATACTTTATTGTTATCATTAGCAATTTTCTAAAGTTATTTCACTTTATATTCTATTATAACTTTCGTCTTATAACACTAAAAAGCTTTTATATTTTCATAATACAAGAAAACTTAATTTTACATATTTTCATGTTTCATATCTAAAACAATGCAACAATATATTTTGGCACTTTCATCCTTTTCATTTTCGGCTTTTTAAATGTCTGGGAAATCTAAGTATGCAAACGTTTTGAAAAGAATTCAATATAGTATTGAAACAATATGTATAAAGAGTATAATTTATATAAACGATGAAAACATACTTTTTCACTTTAGAAACCCAATTTCCTTGCTTCTGAATCATTCCCATGGCTTTGAGGCGTTTTGAAATGGCTTGTTGAGTCACTCCCAATGATCGTGCCAATTCTTCTTGATTTTGACACGAGTCTTGATCAAGTAATGCCTCCAATTCTGCATCTTCGAAAACCTTCTCTCTTCCACCGCTATGCCGGTCTTCGACGTCAAAATCACCGTTCTTGAAGCGTTGAAACCACTCACGACACGTCCTTTCACTAATAGCGGCCTCACCATAAGTATTTGAGAGCATTCGATGAGTCTCAGCCGCAGATTTCTTCATATTGAAGCAGAAAATTAAAACCTCCCGCAAATGACGAGAATTTGGCTCGTAAACTGACATTTTCAATCGAGAATAACTTTATGATGCAGACACAAATCGACTAATGTTTCTATAGGGTTATGTTGACAGATGCCCAAGTTTATTGTATGACGTCTATGATCTATTTATTTCGACCACTACTTACCGCTAAAGCCATCTATAGGAAAACGGCGGAAGCAAAGTTGTATACCTAGAATATTAATAATAATCGTTTTCATTACCTGGATTTTTCGATCATTTCAGTGGTTACACAATATTAAACTGTTTCTTTTAGGCGCTTACGCGCTGTGAGTCACTTCATATTTACTACTCATTATATGCGAATGAACGATGGGATGCCATTTATAGCGCGTAAACGTCCTAGAGGAATGCAACCTTTATATATATAAATTCTGAAAATATTTTATTTGTATGTACTTGACCGGAAAAAAAACTCCGGTTGGAAAACTATTCTTTTAAATCGTTTGTATTTCGTATGAAGAGTTTTGAAGTGCAATTGAAAAGATTTATGAGTTATTCTATTACTTGTAATTAATTGTTCTTTTTTGGACCATGTATTTAGCCGGAAATAATGACCGGAAGTAAATTAAACAAAGGTTCGGTATAGTATCGTTTATATTTCGTATGAAGAGTTATGAAGTATCATTAAAAAGGTTTGTGAGTCATCCAGATAATTTTAATTAAATATTAAAAAATTATGTATTTGGCCGAAATATCGATCTCAAGCGCTACTGTAGAAGTACCGTCAGACACGATCGGTGTATTACCTAGTATTTAAATACTCATGGTTCATTTTCGAGTAATTATGTATAATAAGGCCTTTTTCGAATTTTGATATTTTTTTGCAGCTCTTTTGGTAAAAATATTTATTTTGACTTCAATATTAATAATCAATCGGGGAGTCCGAAAAATATGCAAGTTATATATTGTTTTAACTTATTCTTCATTTTTTTTCACTTGTTGAACGTTGCTGCTTTCCCACAATTTAAATAAGTTACTGATCTTTTAATTACATTATGTAACTGCAATATCGAACGACTAGCGGGGGGCTGCACTCCCCGCATCCCCCCTCGAAATTAACCTAACCCAACCTATCGTCACATTAACCGTCAGTCATTATTTATTAAAGTATTCAACTTTTTTTCTTAATAATTTTTTAGTAAACAATGACTAACGACTAATGTGACGATAGGTTAGGTTAGGTTAGTTTTGAAAGGGGGAGCAGGGGGCGCAGCCCCCCGCTAGTCGTTCGAAATTGCAGTTACATAATGTGATTAAAAGATCAGTAACTTGTTTAAATTATGGGAAAGCAGCAACGTTCGACAAGTGAAAAAAAATAAAAAAAAAGTTAAAACAATATATAACTTGCATATTTTTCGGATTCTCCCAATTGATTATCAATAGGCCTTATTGTATATAATTACCCGAAAAAAAACCAGGAATATTGAAATACTAGATAGTACACCGATCGTGCCTGATGGTACTTCCACAGTAGCGCTTGAGATCGATATTTCGGCCAAATATATGATTTTTTAATATTTAATTAAAATTATCTGAATGACTCACAAACCTTTTTAATGATACTTCATAACTCTTCGTACGAAATACAAACGATACCATACCGAACCTTTGTTTGATTTACCTTCGGTCATTATTTCCAGCTAAATACATGGTCCAAAAAAGAACAATTAATTACAAGTAATAGAATGACTCACAAATCTTTTCAATTGCACTTCAAAGCTCTTCATCATTTAAATAAAAATGATTTAAAAGAATAGTTTTCCAACTGGAGTTTTTTTCCGGTCAAGTATATACGAATAAATATTTTTTATTGTTAATCACGTTAATTGGCCAATTACGATTGATTATTCTTCTATAATTCTTCTATGATTAGTAAATTGCTTAAAGCTTAAGACCCATATTCTGAATCCTCTTTTATCTATAAAAGTGCTTCTAAAAAAGGAGTCACATGATTGGCTGAGAAGCTATATTCAAGGCACTTTGTTCCGTGCGGGACGAGTACGATGTGCGACCATGCGCCAGGGCAGCGATCATGTAACTTCGAGCGGAACTTTTCATTTTTACTTTTTGCTCTATCGATTTCACGTGCACTTTTTCATTGTTCACGCAATCAAGTAACTCTATGCATGAAAAGCACAAATCACTAAACATGGTTCCTATATGATTTCAATATTGGTCAAATCAGCTGTATCCATCCGCTGTAGAACATATAAGGTTTGTTCGCGTCGCATGCCCCAATGTGCTCCTACTCGCTCCAACGTACTCTGATTGGTCCGCGTGGTGACATGAGCCAATCAAAGTGCGTTGGAGCGAGTAGGAGCACGTTGGGGCATGCGATGCGAAAAAACCTATAACTTTAAAAACATCGCTATAACCTTAGGACTATTATGTTTTCTGTATCTCATCACAGCACTAGCATAATATATTCCGTATTCATTATGTCACTAGATTTTCTTTGGGTGTTTATGACAATTATTGGCTCCTGCACACAGAACGCGGTAATGGTTGCGCGCGGCGGAAGTCCGCACGACAGCCAATCAATATGTTGTTTTTCCGTAAGAGCTAGAAGGTTATTACGGAAAGCAGCATATTAATTGGCTGTTGCGCGAACTTCCGCCTCGCGGCAAGCATTACCGCGTCCTGTGTGCAGAAGCCATTACTGCTTCAGTTTTGTTGTGCCACAGCCCTAAGTGGACCAAACTAAGTGGACCAAACTAACCAACCAAACGCTACTGTGGTCACGAAACGAAAAAACGTCTTTAGAACGGTGATTGCGATTGCGATCGCTAGCAGCTCCTTTCTGATTGGTCAAGACGCAACACTAAACTGCCCCAATCGCTAATGTGATACGGGCGTAAAGTCGCTTGGCGCGCTTGTTCGTGATTGGTAAAATTTAATTCTATAACGACTGTTTGATCGTGCTGTAACCATTTCTCTGCGGTTTACAATTCAGCGTTGTGTAATTTGTTTGATCGTAGATTCTTTTAAACGCTGACATTTTCCTAGGTTATGACGGAAACGCAACAGAAGGCGAAATGCATCACATTGAAAGGCTCCGCCGAGTTGGTTAAACAGTACCTGTGTAAGTATAACCTCGTCTGCGGTGCCGGCTACAAAATATTCATAACTTTTTCGAATCTTGATCGTTCTTTACAGTGTATGGAGTCAACAGTATACTCTATCAAAGAGGAATATATCCGCCGGAGATGTTTCAGCCCGCTGAACACTTCGGCCTATTTATTTTCATGTCCACGGATGATAAAATTATGTCCTTTTTGGACACTGTCATGGGGCAGATCCAGGAGTGGCTAATTCAGCGTAAAGTACACAAGATTGTCCTTGTCATAACAAACGTCAACACGAAAGAGGTGCTGGAAAAATGGGACTTCAAGGTCGAGTATGAAGACCAGAAGTCAAATGGAGTTGACAGTAATGTCAAGGCTGACTCACCTGAAATAGGAACAAAGGATGTGAAAACTATACAGAAGGAGATACGAGAAGTGATACGTCAGATCACTGGTAGAGTCAGATTGCATGCAAATTTTAAGCAAAATTTCATTCTCATTAGATCTGTTTTTCTAGCTGAATTATGTTCTAGCCATTAGAATAAAACAAGCATGTGACATAGTATTGAAGGAAAAAAGAACAAGGTTTCAGTACTAGTTTAGCTAGAAAAACATCTATTATATACTAGTAATGTTTAATTCTTATAGGTACAGTGAGTTTTCTGCCACTCTTGGACTGCCAATGTTCCTTTGACATATTGACGTACACCATACCTGACTGCAATATTCCTAACAAGTGGGATGAGACTCAACCAGTTTTCATTGCAAATAGTCAAGAAGTACAGCTTAGATCATTTTCAACCTCCATACATAAGATGGAAACTATAGTGAGTTACAAAAATACTTGAAATTACTTTATTCTTTTTTACGTTTTTTCTTTTTTTCTTATATAATGATAATTCAAATTTCATTTAAAATCGCCTTGTGTTATAGATGGATTATTTCACAAATATGAAATAAAAATCAATAACAAAACTTTTTAAGAGAAACATTTGAATGTCTATAGCTTTGTAATAAACAATGTTGTTCTGTCTGTTTTAAGAAAAGTCATTTAATACATCTGTGAACTAATGCATTGATGTAGTAGTTTTAAATTCCTATATATTTCTATCAAAATTCCTATATATTTCTATCAAAATTTTATTCTCTCTATAAAAATATCATTCTATATCAATAAAAAGAAACAGGATTAGGGGAATGTATGATATCAACGATCATATGAGAGTCATAATAATAGTAAGGAAGAGCACATGTCACTGACAAGAATCTTGGCAGATTTTATTAAAACATAATTGACCATTACATTTAACACAGGAGTTATATTAGGTTACTTGGCAAAGCATGAGAGATACGACTAGAATAAAGTTTTCGCTCGCCGACTTCTCGAGGTGATTGACTAGTATCTTCCAGCGTAAAGCTTCTCATATAAATTTTCGATATTGATACCGATACTCAATCTCAATCATTTTCTAACAAACTTTGCGTTGCGCGTCGAAGCGTCCTGGTCACGCATAATTCAAAACTCAATCGAACGCTACGCTCCTTCAATTTAAACGAGACTTATTTATACAAATACACCCATAGACTCGAATGGTCAACGTAACATATTCAATCGTAATCTGCCTCGTTCGGTGGAGTGTACGAACGAAAGATGATAATAAAAATCATCTTGTGCCTTTATGTATGCTATTCTTTGTCCGCGATGCCCAATTACTCGATCCGATGACAAATCTACATGAACAGAGGCGTTTATTTCTCTTCGAATAATCGACACGTGCCGTTTGAAGATTTAGTTTCTTTTTTTAATATGTATTTTTATATATTCGATTGTATAAATACTTTGTAAAATTTTAATCTTCTATTTTAATCTATCTTTAATCTTCTAATTTCGTCATCAACCTCTTTGTAATTATATAGGATTCGTTATATGGATTTTCATTTTTCTTATAATAAAATGTACACGGAAAAAATTGATTGAATTAATTTGAAATTCGATTAAATTAATTAGACTGGTGAAAAATGAATTATTCGTAATTCTGATTCAAATAACTAGATAAATTTTGTTACATGTGTTTTGTTTAAAGTAACTATAGATAGATTTGTTTGTGTCAACCTCAGCAAAAAAGGTCACTACCAAATTCGCCTTTACTCAGGTAAATTTTGAACGCGAGATCTTTGGATTATGAGTCTGCTGTCTTACGCGCTACGTCACTTCTCTAATTAATAGGAATGTGTTTGAAAACATCATCCGAGTGTTCTCTCTTTATCTCATTCTTGTATCTCTCTCACTTCAACGCAACGGATGTATCCGGGTGACGTTTCCGAACGCACCTTAAATCTGATATATTGCTTACACATATGTGTAAACACAATTATGCAATTTTTCAACAATATCATTTCATATCATAAAAAGTAATTGGGATAAAAATTATATTTTGCCATAGTTTTCTTTTTAATTTAATTAAAACTGTGACCATAGTTTAAGTATAATCAGTTACGAGAGTAGCCAGAAATGCAGAAATAAATTTCCAGTGCGCATTTGTGAACGACGCAACCAGCAACATGTCGATGCAACTTTATGTGATGAGTACATGTAAATAAATAAAGAAAACTTAATAGAGAAAAATTAAGATAATAGTAAGCAATAGTATAATATGATAAACTTATTTGTTTTTTATTTGTGAAGAAGTAAAACATTAAATAAACGGGTGTAGTATACACGGATACACATGTATCGTTTTAATGTACAATAATACTACAACTTTCAAAAAAGGTATTAGTTTCTTTCGTTTCCTGAAAGATTTTCATAAGTGAGAAAATTTATTATTTATGTAATTGTGCAATTTTTGATAAATAAGAACTACACATATAAATATTTATTCATATATGTTTTTGCTCTTGCCTACAATACAGTTCTATATTTGAAATAGACATATTGAGTCAGTTATAAAATATGGTCTAATTTTTTACATAAATTTTGCTTGTTACATTCAGCAAAGCCCTTAATACGTGTAATAACGTTTAAGATACTTATTTGTTCAATAATATCAATTTTATATTTATTTTTCAATTTAAAAATTTTAATTTTCAAATTACATGTTTATTCCAGCGATTTTAGATAAATATTCTTACAACTAGCTCTATTATATTGAAATTATTCTATTTTAAAACTCGGCGTTCTCCTAACCCCAAAGACTTGGCGATAGATCATGTGATCATATGACTGCGATATCAAAGACGCCGACAATTACTATCGTAACTGGTTAAACTTAAACTGTGCTATGATACAATGCTCGCGCGCGCGAAGCAGTGAGGTGAATTCTGTAAGGTTAATTCCTTTAATATCCGAATGCTCGAGATTCACGCGCGTAAGACATTGGGTTTGTGGTAGACTGAATACGCAGTAACCAATTTATGATCGATATTGCACTTTAATGTTTTGAAACATTTAATCAGAAATAATAACCAGAAATTCTGTTTAGTTTCATCAAAAATTCTGTTCTATCAAAAGTATCATTCGACCAAATGTGTCACGTTAATCCAACTTCTTTTCTCAGGCAGTCATAATAACCAGATACTAGAATGTTATTACGCAGTAAATAAATTTTGAATATTACATTTAAACATTCTATTTGCGTGTCAGAATATCTCATTGTAATAACCAGAAATTTTGTTAAAGTCCACCAAAACTTGTTTAACCAAACATATCATGTTAATTCGGACTTCTTTTCTCCGTGTAGAATATATTAAAAAGTAGAATATAACACAATAATAGAAATTTTTTGGTTTTTAAGGAGAAAATACAATACTTTAAAAGCGTGAATGGAAAATGAAGGTTTTATTGCTGTTCGTTAAGCGATCGTCACGAGTGTGAATCGATGCTGCCGCGATAAATTCTTCAGCGACCGGTCGATTATCGAAGTAAAACGCCATTCTCCATTTATATTTGCCATTTCTCCGAGCACATTTTGGTCTCGCCAAAATACGACCGAGTAAGATCGTTTCGGGAAGTACCGTTGGTGATCTATTTATTAGTAATTCGCCGTTACGTCTCCCTTACAGTAATTTCGCTATTAACGTTAATACTTCGTGCTGCTAGAATTAGCCATATTAGTTCACAGTGCGTAGTCTCTTTACTATAAGACTATCGCCGAAAACGCACGAACGTGCGTCTCATGCGCGCTGACTCGTCCGCCTGACTCTTCATCTTCGAGACATCCGATGCTTTTGAGAGACGATACTTTCGAGCACTCGAGACTGCAACAGACACTTTAGACTTCTGATGCGCTTCTACAAACGCTTCAAAAATTTGCACGATTTCATTCTCATAAGGGGACTCGCCGTTCCCGAGTTTCAACAAGTATCCTATATTTTCGCGAATTACATTAACGAATATTCCACGCGTTTCCGCGCGATTTCTTCCAACAAATATATTACATTTCCGAAATTTCAACGAATATTTCAATCCTCCGCGATTCATGCCAACAGTTGCAGTGACGTCCTTTAGTAATCAAAATACACTCCTTTTTTTTCTTTCTTTTCTGTTCCGTTGATTAATGAACAACTCAAGGATGACATTCAGTGACGCGAGGAGTGTTTGGGGAACAATATTCGTGGAATTTCATCCGAGAGAGGCAATCTAATTGTTGAATCGCTGCGCGATCGCTTCAATAATCAGACGTTCGTAAGACTTTTCATACCCGAAATATTTTCTTCCTCCTCAAAAGCACGTTGTTTACGCCGTAGACGGACGTTACACTCGTAATAATTCTCCGCACCCAAGCTATACGCTCGTAAATGTGCCCTAGACTAGTTTTGCTCCGAATTCGCTTTTAGCTCACACACTGCAAAAGCTGCTGGAGATACGCTGTAGTTTTACAAACGTACTTATCCCGCTGGCCCGCAATACCGTGAGAGAGCGACATGTCGGACAGTAACCGTAATGGAGTTTGCCGGTTCGTGAATTGTTTAAAGTCCTCTTGTGACGTAAAATTAGTGAAGGGGGCAGGTGCGGGGGTTAAGGATCGTTGTTATAGAAACCGGTAGAAAGAAGGTGCGTTCTGTAGGAAGAAAGACGAAAAGGATATCCCGCTCTTTGTAGGACTGACGGACGTTCAAGCTGAAAATATTTGGTCTACCAATGTAATCAATATTGCACAATAATTATGATCCATAAATTTTGACTAATAATCTTTCAACGAGAGGTATTGACAATGATCGAGAGTAATTCGAGCGCGAATTAAATAGACGAGAGATGAGAACGAATTATGATAATAATAAAAATTTCGAATTCATTTTTTTTTAGGACTTTGATAAAGGTAGAACGTCATATTTGAATATTTCATGCCGACATCAACGCGCCAGCGGTGAGTTCATGTAGATATAGAACATAAATTTCTCACCCTACAATTTTTTTACGTCTCTTTTTTTCATATTTCTTATCGTCCCCGTAATCTTTTATGACTCGCTGAGCGATGGTGTTCGGGGCAGGTCTCTTTTGTCGCAAGTGGCACGGTATAACGGAGCAGCGGGCGTCACGTGTGTTTAGTACAACATTACGCGACAATTCTCCGTAAATATCGTAAAAACGCGTCTCTAGTAAAAACATTGAAAAATAAACAACGCGAAACAATATACAATATTTTACAGTAGCGCTTAGTATACCAGTGATTGGGAGTTGTCCCGCGAAACGGTGATGTGCGACAATTGTCAGAGGCTGCGCGAGGAAGCGCCGTTGATCGAGTCGATCACGATTGTACGCTCGGAAAATGCGCGGTGTTTGTTCCCGATCGCAATTTCGACCGAGCGCTCGGGCGTGAGAGGATAGGAGCAATCGAGCACCATCGCTCCTCTTCCCCTCTCCGTCCCCTTTATTTCTATCTCTAATGTCGATCGTGTAATCGACAAAGTACACGTCCATCATTAACGAAACAATCGTCGATACGATGGACGCGTGGGTGTTCAATCACCATTCCGCGGTCCCATCCACCTCGTGGACCGAAGATCGATTCTCCTCCTCCTCCTCCTCCTCCTCCTCCTCCTCCTCCTTACGTGTAAATCGCGTTCGATCGCGTCGCGGTGTCCCGCGAGAGAGAGAGAGCGCGCGCGCGCGCGCGCGGCGCGCACGAATTGTCATTTTATACACCCCTACTTAAGTTTACCTTGGACTAACGCTATCGTCGATTCTCACGATCGTTTTTTTTTCTTTTATGCGTAAAATATCATAAAATACATTCTTTCTTTGTTCGCTATTCGTAGACTCGCCGCCTCGTCCCGGTAATCGCGCAATCTGCGTCAAGTACGCGGAGCCGCGGCATTTTAAGCGGACAGACCGATAAATGTTCGAAGCCACAAGTCGGCTGAACGCCGACGAGTGTGGAGTAAAATATTTTGCCTATTGGTACAATACGAGTGTCTCTCCTCGCTACATAATCGTCTTGCGCGTATAGCTTTGGTTCGTCGACGAAAGAAAAAGGGGGGGAAAGAAAGAGGAACGAACCGTTTTGTTCCTTCAAGAGGGGGGGATCTTTTGATACCGTTATATTTCTATACACATTACTACAGAGAATGTTATATATAATAATATTCAATGAATTTAATATATATTATCGAGTAATAGAGAAATATGATACAAGAGGAGGAAATGATATAGAACTCCGTATCATGTGGAAATCAGTGTCTTCACACGTGTGAGAGATCTCACCTCCAAATGCCATTCGCGCAGCCTTCACTTTTCCGCGGGGGATCCCCGCTGCGGCGAAAATCAAAACTCGCTCGCTTTGACGTCGCGTGATACCGACCGACACGGCGAATCGTCGATGACTCATGTCGATGACTTTCATACAAATCGTCCAATAGGTACGAGCGACGAAACGAAATTCAACGAAAAAGCACACGGCGGCACTAGTAAGCTTGCACGGACATCATACGCTACGACAATCTCCTCCTCTCCGTCTCGCTCGAGAGTCTTTGGTTTACATAGCTAGAGTCGCAAAGTACTTTCCGCCTCTCACCTCGCAGTGAGAACGCGGCTCGGAACACTCCGCTCGCTTGTTCGCCCACAGAATTACCTACACTTGCAACTGTCCCTAAAATGTAAAAAGTAAGCGCACGCGTCTACCCTCGTCCACGGAGACGCGAAACTAGCCCCTCATCGATATCGACTGTCGGCCCGGTCGACACCGTCATAAGCGAGGCAGCGCGTGTTCCGACCGAGAATCGTTTCTTTTGACAATCGTTATCCAATCACGTCTGGGAACGTCACGCCGTCGGGATCGGGGTGGGAACGACGTTGACGTCGTGCAATTTTTGCGACGTCGTCTCTCACCGCTCGCCCGCGCGTTTCTTTTCCGCGTCCTCCGCTCGCGGAGGAACGGGGCGGAAAACGAATAAATCGAGACGGTGCCAAGAGCTCGCTGTCGACGTTTCGATCGCTCTCGAGGGTCGACGCATCGCGCTTGACCTAAAAGGGGTACGAGGGAGTACTTTGTACAATAAGGGCGTCCTGAACGCGTCGGTGAGGCCGGGATTCTTTTCGGTGAAATCTTTTCTTTTCTCCTGTTTGCTTTTTTTTTTTATATTTTCCTCTCGGAAGTTGCGGAGCGCCTTCTCGCGGCTGGCTAGGACCGTTTTTAGCATACAAACGGTTGCGACGTATCTTTCGGACTTGTGTACAAATGTCTCGGCTAACCGGGGATTTTCAGTATTTCTTCGCGCGATTTCAACGATCTGTCTGTCCTCGAGAGTCTGCAATTAGAAAGAAATCTAGATATCGATAGGACCAGAGGAAAGTTTGAAACGTTGCGCCGCGCGCAAGCAAGATAGCTCAATTGGAAGTTCCTTGAAATCAGCCAGATTGCTTCAATTAGGTAACACGAAATTAACGATACGAGATTAATTATCCCAGTTTTGCGTTGCAAAACTGAACATCATCGACTGAAGTTGCACGGATAGAATTTCTCTGAAACTGGCTCGTGTAATCGTGAGGACACTCCGCTAATTAAAACGGCGTCCTATCTGCGCAAGTTGAAAATTCCACGTTACGCGTTACTGCCTGAAAGATACCGCGGGTCCCTCCAGTAAAACTCTGATCCCGAAAATCCTATTACACAACTCGGGGATCACCCCCGCGAGTGTCCTTCCTCCTGCAATCCCGTAAAATGATATCACGACATCCCCGTGGTGCTACGTCGATCTGCACGTGCCCTTTGCTATGGTTTTACGACGGCTTTCCTCTCTTATTCTGCTTTCCGCCGGTATGATCCGCGTCGGAAACGAATGGCTCCAGGTCCTTTGACACGCTCTTCCCGTTCTATCCGCTAGTGAGCTTACGTTCGTACGAGTCGTGTAACGGCGTAAATTATTCTCCGAATTACAAACTGCGAGTTCGACGTTCTCGTGAAAAGCGAGAGAAAAAAGGAAACGCCGAAGCGTTAGTGAATGTCGCAGGTCAAACGTGCAAATCGGCTAATTGCGGCGAAATTCCCACGGGAACGCTTTAACTGGGGAACAATGGATCGTAATAAACGGCAGCGAGTTGTTCGTAATACTCTCTTCCAGCCGAGCTCATTCGCATCGTCGTTGTGTCTCGCGATGTCTTCATTCCGTTGAACAGAGAAGCAAAGTTTTCTTGCAGATGAGGTGGCGAGCTGCGTCATTGGAAGTTTTCTAATCCCAGCCGAGGAAGTGGTTGCTCTTCTCTAGGTAACGCGCGAGTGCTCGCTGTGGTGGTCTGCAAGCAAACGATAAAGATTATTTCATACGGATGCTCTGTGAAATAAAAATTTCGGATACTACAAAAATGTTGGCTTGTTTCTTCGAACGCTATCCTTCTTCTTCGTTCGTTTTTCCCATCCATGATCGTATATTCATTATCTCGTCCTCTGCTATTCATTTCGTCCATGATTGTCCTATATTCTGGGAAATATCCTTCATATAAAAAAATTCTGCCATCAGCATTTTATATAACGTGTAATTGAATTTAATTTACTGTTCCAGAAAAAGCTAAGTTTAGTATGCTAAGAGATAAAGAAATCAAGGGGGTTTAAAGCTTTAAAGGAGCTATACAATTTTTCTGTTAAATTCGATTATTGCGTTGTTCCGTTCTTTTTTTGAGTTTTTTTTTATGAAAAAGATGAAGATTGTGAGATATATATGTAGGATTAACGATAAAACCTCAATGATAAGAATTCGACAGAAATTATTTTGTATGTTATATACATAGAAAAAAAGATTTGTTGTCATATACTGGAGCTGAAGAACTATCGACGGCATTACCCATAACTATTGTGGTAGTTTATACTATTTAAGGGTCCTTGTGCTTTGTCGTGGTTATGTTGAATTTATGGCGTCAGAAGTGACGAACGACATATGGACGAAAATTGCATGACATTTCTAAATAAAGATAAATATAGACGAAGGAGCACTTAAGACTGTTTGAGTATATTTGTAAAATTGTCCGAAAGATATTCTTTTTTCCTGACAATAAATAATATAATAAATGGTGAAATGAAGCATGCAGACCAAACAGATTCATTTCATCATTTCATGTGTCTCATTTATTATACGATTATTTAATGATCGTCAAGGGAAAGGAATACCTTTCGGACAATTTGTACTTAATAAAGTTTGACGTTGTAAGGCAGATTTGTTAGTACAGTGAAGACGATTTTCTACCACATCAATGGGATATATAGCTTGGCATACGCAACTAATCATTTTGTTGTTATATCAAAGGAAATTTGATATATTAACGGATTTCATTATAGTTTAATAATTAATTGCTCTAGCAATAGAAATTAGCTAAAGCAACAATGCTTGAAATATGTGAAATATATGTTTGCTCGCATTCTCTCTGCAGCCATTCAAATAGTATAACAAACACAATAAGAACAAATACACATAAAAAAATATATTTATACAGGATGTTCCCAAAAGGTGGTACCAAATTTTAGGGGTATGTAGTACTCGTTAAAACAAACCAAAAACTCTTAATGAACAGTACTCCGAAAACCTTTTATTTCTGAGTTATGAAGCATTTTGTTCTGTGAAAAATAGAAAATAACTAAAATTTACAATAAATGTTCAATGTACCCTCCGTCCATTTCAACACACAATTCGGCACGTCTCCTCATTGAAGATCGAACACGTTCAAAGATTCCGGGTTTATTCCGTATTTGTTGACAACAGTTTTCAATTCTCTGAGTCAATTCATCTATTGTATCAATTGGTGTGACATATACCGGTCTCACGTAAGCGTTGATGAATTTTGCTAAACATTCTTCTACTTGGCTGTCGGCGATTCGGATAAGCTGCATGATACAAGCGTGCTGCTTTTGAAGCATTGCCCTTTGCTCTGCCATACATAAAATGAATATCCGTCATTTCAGAATTTGTGTCAAAATTAGCCATTTTTCAGATAACACAAAACTAGACACGGTCCACAATTCAAAGTTGAATACAACAATCCCTGCGTAATTAGGTGGTCACATACGGGCGTCCGTGAATGAACTGACTAAGAGACTTGGAAATTGTTGTCAACAAATACGAAATACCTGAACCTGAACTCTTTGACCTTCAATGACGAAACATGCCGAAATGTGTATTGACATGAACCGAAGGCACATTGAATATTTATTGTAGATTTAATTTATTTTCTATTTTTCACAGAACAAAATGCTTCATAACTCAGAAATAAAAGATTTTCGGAGTACTATTCATTAAGAGTTTTTGGTTTGTTTTAACGAGTACTACATACCCCTAAAATTTGGTACCACCTTTTGGGAACATCCTGTATATATGTATATACACAAGGTGTTTTAGACCACCCGTTCACCTCTTTTATTTTGAAAAGGGTTGGTGCTAGAAAGTTGGGAACGCATGTTTACCATAAAAGCCTATCTGAAGTTTCTGATGGTGGTATTTTCACTTTTGGGAAATCCCCTGAAATATCAGAAATCCAAAATAAAATTTTAAATGGCAACACAAGATATGGATATCGTTGAAAAGAGCTTTTAAAAAGAAACAACTTTTGCTTGAGAAAAATAATTTAATATCCCTCGGAAATGAATACTGGTTTTTGGTGATTTCCCAAAAATTTCCGGAGATTTCCCAAAAATGAAAATATTACCATCAGAAACTTCAGATGGGCTTTTATGGTAAATATGCGTTCCCAACTTCCTAGCACCACCTCTTTTTAAAATAAAAGAGATGGACGAATGGTTTGAAATACTCTGTAATGAAAAACTTAAATTGCGTAATGTATAATAATATTTGTCATTACGGATATTTGTATTCAAATTTAAGGCTACTAGTCTCTCGCCGTGGAATTCATGATTGATATTAAAAGCGAAAAAATGCGTGCTCAAACTTCTTGCATGCTATTTTTAAAAAGACATGAAAGGACTTTTTAGGTCGTTTGAATATACTTGTAAATGCTCCTTGTGTGAAAACTATCTTTTTCCATTAACAAATCAATAAATAATCGCGACAAAAATTTTACGTGATGTGCAATCTGTCTCTTTAACTTTTCGATTCCCATGTTAATTTCGTAAACATAAGTTTGCAAGAGGAAACAAGTGACTCACCCCGAGTAAATAAGTTACATCTTGAAAATTGTACATAATATGCATTTATTTATCTCAAACAAAAATCTATAACTTAAAAATCAATTAGAAAAATCCCTAAAAATTATCAAATTTTACTGACAGAATTATTCTAAGAAAGTCATTTATGGAGCGATCGGTTTGCCCACTTGAGAATCGAAAGGTTAACATAACTTTTTTTTAAAGTTTGTTACGTTAATTTTTGATTTATTTTAATTTTCAAAGGAAAAGAATAATTTTCGGAACACTTATAAATATGTTCAGGCGATTTAAAGTGTTTGTTTACTTAAATATCTTTTTATTTGAAAATAACACGTAAGAAATTTCTCCAGGAGTCTTAATAGGTTTGCATTTCTCCATAAAAAAAATAATTCTTTATTATCCATTGAGTAAGCGCATGATTTTTTTGGTAAAATTAATAAAGTTTCGCGAACTTCAATTAGCTCGAAATACAAAATGATTTGTCGTAACCAAGATAATATCAGCAAAAATGGGTTTGTTCTATGAATAAATTAATAATTGCTTTCACATATAATTTCTTTGCTGCCCTAGCAAATTTGCTTAGTTAGTGCAACATTTAACTTTGCTCAACAAATTGTAGATATACTGAATCGACCAAAGCATTCTTGTCCGTGTAGATAGAATAAGTTATCAGAACTTCGAATCGGTCCAAATTCATTTTAGACCCGAATTTAACGGGAGGAATTTTTGCAAGGCTATCGTTATGCTTGGAGTAGGAAGTTAAATCTCCATTTTAAGGCACATTAAGCATTAGAGTACACTCACTATAGTCGTCGTCGTCGTCAAAGTTGCGTGGAAGTTCGACAATCTCAGCGGTTCGGCCAGAGTGTGTAAAGAACACCGAGCGGAAGGAGGAGAAGGAAGAAGAAGAAGAAGAAGACGACGATGCAGTTTTCCACGAAACTTTCCTCTCTCGTCGCGGTCGCAATATCGTTTCGATACGGTTGTTGCTCGCGGTACCGCAGGTAATGGATAAAGCATCGAGACCAAAAGGCTTCTAGGTGGCTCCTTCTTCCGTGCTTCGTCCGTGTCTACCACATGTTCTCTCTTCTCTTCCCTCTTCCGCTTCCTCTCACGTTTTTGCCCTCCGTCTCCTGTCTTTCCCGAGGGGGTGGAAGGGGACTGCCAGCTATTCGGTATAATAGAACATCTCTCGGTACAGTCCCCTTCGTCTTCTCTCCCGTTCGACAAACGAGCGTGGTCGTGGTGGCGGGTAATGGAATCGACACGCTCGACGATAGTTTATTCCGTCTTTACTTTAACGAGCCGGCGGGGCACCCAAATGGAAATCCCGTTTTATCGCTCTCGCCTACTATTTGTGTTCTTACGATCCCGCGTCGCAATCAGCTGTTGCGAGATCCGTCTTTGACGAGCTTTCGACGCGCGGCCCTCCGACCCGCTGAGATTGTGAGCTTCAGATCGAACTTGCAGCGTCCGATTGCGGTTTGCTAGAGACGGTCGGCGTCTAAGCTAGCTGGTTGGTCGGACCGATGAGGAGAAAAAAATATCGTGGGGCTCGTTGCTTTCTCGAATTGATGAGCTATGTAACATACGATTCCATTGTCGTTCGATCAGCGTTGGCCGGTTATCTCCTCAGTCGGTTTGCGGTCAGATTTTTTTTTTTTTTCTGTTAAAGCTGGTTAATCTGTTGTTAACGTTAGAACTAGTAGTCAAAATGATTACTAATCTATGGCCTATAATTTTTTATAAAAATTACTCATATTTATAACGGTGCACACTTTATATTTTTAATTGACGTTGAATAAAATCTAAAAAAGTTAAACAAAAATTATTTAAAAAAGTTAAATGAACATTTTTCTCTTGCAAGTACGTATTTTTTCTTAAAATCCTGTCCTGTTCTCTTAACCACTCATGATAAAAATAAGTCGTTAATCGTTAGTACATTTAATGTTAAAGGGACTTTAATAAACACCTTTCGTTAATCAAAAATAGATTTTTTATTATATATTCTAAAAATATATATTTGTAAGTATATGTTCTTGAAAAAAATTTTCATGAAAAAATTAAAAAAAGTTGGCTAAGTTATAGCCGATTATCTATTAAAATTTTTGCTAAAATTTGATGAAAGATTCTGATTTTTATTATTCTAGTTCTAACGATAGCTACACATCTATTAATAATCTTTTTTAATTTTCTGCTTCGGTACATTGAGTTCTGTAGAATCATGAGGGTCAAGATATCATGTATGTTTGGGTCCTTTTCTGGAAATGCTTTATATCTCTCTAATGTTCATTAATATTTTTACATGAAAAAATTGCTGTATATAGTTTAGATCTATAATATTATGTGTACAAAACTTCAAATAAATATCTCATAGTTTTTTTAAAAAAATTCACATAAATACTTGTTTTTGATCTTTGAAATGTGTTTCCTCCCTTAAGGGTGATTTATGTTTTGTATAATGTCAATGTCAATTTTGTGACAATAAATTCGCAAGTTTTTCCGATCAACGTTTACATCTCTTTCGAATGAGCTCGACCGCGACATGTCACGCGTATCTCTTTTTCCTTACCTTCGTCACGATCCAAGAAAAGCTCGGCAAGTGCAGGATGAAAGCATTTCGTCGCATTGGGTCTTCGTCCGGCGTAGAAAGGGCGCTCAACGCGATGACGATGATGATGGCTCTCTCGTTCGTTCAGACTAGCTCATGGAATTCTGACTCACGACGGTCCAGGATGCGGAGTGTGCGAGGATGACGTTGGTCGGCGGCTCGCTTCGTCTCCTGAGGCTCTCCTGCGGCAGGAAGTGGCGGGCCAAATTATTCCTGTAGCGCGAAAGGTGCCGCTAATGCCGTCGGCTCCGGACTTTCCGGCCTAATTAGCCCGGAACCATTAAGTTTATCTACGAGCATCAGGGTCACCGGTCTCCCTTGAGGTAACTATTAGGCTGCGGGAAGAGGAATGGAGTAGGGAAGGCAGAGTTCACCTTTTGCTGAGAGCTAAGTGCTGAATGATTAAGTCCGAATGCGGTAGTAGCCGAGTCATTGGATATATACGAAGTGCGCCAAGACGATCGAACGCTGCGGGTATTATACGTTGTAGAGAAGCTGAAGCTGATGAAAGGAGCGTTGTACTATAGGTTTTAAGATCACGTCTATGTAGATTGTTTGTGTATTATCTACGTTCTGTAGATAAGCGCGAAAAAAATTGGTTGAATTAATCAAATTTATAGGACACATAACTATATTAACTAGATTGGTGAAATTTCTGGTTAAGATAATCAAACAAGTTTGGTTACAAGCGTTTGATTATTTTAACTAAACTGAACAAAATTATATTCATATCTTTTACTAGAGATTTTGTTACTTTTTTAACTCTGAAAATTGTTTCTTAAAGGGATGCCAGATGTGAAAGGTTTACCGACATAACATTGACTTTTTTTTGCAAAGTTTACGTCTTGTTGCTTGTATAGAATTACAAACGCTTTTATACAACAAAAATGCTTGCAAAAATAAATTGGAGCATTGCTCAATATGTGACGAAAACGAAAAAAAATATATTTAAATTTAAATTTTGAATTGTCAGTTAGTGCAACATTTGTTTAATACAAACATTCTGCAGGTTGTACATACCGAAACTGTGGATGCTCTAATCAGGAAAATTTCAAAGATTACTACTACATTTTCAGAATTTAGTTTCGATGCCAAAAAAGATACGAAAAGTTTGCAGAAAAGTTTATGATTAGATGGTGACATGTGATTAGGTTTTCCGACAATTAAGGTAAACGTCCCAGTGGTCGAACATACATGTCCCAATGATTGACATATTAGTTTTGTATTTTTCTTTGTTGAAATGTTTTTCAATATACAAAACAATATAATAAATGAAAAGAAATATTTAGTTACTTTGTGATTTTGTTTCATTTATTGATAAGCATTTTAACAAACACAAGTATATTATTAATAATTCAATTATCGGTACACGTTCAATCACTAGGATGTTTACCTTATGATGAAATAGAGCGAAAAATTAGTTCACGGATATTTTTGGCATCGTGCTTTTATCGCACTTTTTACAACGTCTGAATATTCAGTGTGTATATATATATATATATATATATATATATATATATATATATATATACATACATATATATATATATACATACATATTATATATATATATATATATATATATATATATATACACGCGAGTGGATAATAAAGAAATAATGATCGAATATTCGGTAATAACAATACCTGGGTAACGGATCTAACAAAAACTCTAGGCTCAACAAAGGCTAGGTAAACAGACCGTCGTAACGGCCCGCTCGGGTGATACTCAGCGGCGTGTCGGGCGGCGCGTAGCCGGGTTATGGAAACACGCGTGCGTGAGCACGTGCTCGAGTGTCCCATCATAGCACTATCAACCGTCGAGGCGAACGCATTGGAAGTTGCCGCGTTATTTTTTAGATTATTCCGCGCCGATTTTTAACACCGCGTTTCGACTTGACGACAATTGGCGCGATAATTAAGACAAATTAAGATGCGTACTTCTCACGCGAGCAGGTGTTGCGGGCTTTATCGTGACAAGTAATTACCGCATTTTATTTACTTTTTTACTTGTTAGAGAAACGTCGCGATCGAATTCCTTAATGCCGATCAAATATTATCATCATCCATTTAATATTCGAGTATTATTATTTCTTTATTCGATTATTATTTAAGTTATTCGGTTATTATTTAATTATTGCTATTACGCATAGGAAAGCAACGCGGGCGTGCCGTTATGACAATTTCTTTACCTTATCTTTAATCAGTTATTGCCGTTGCCCAGTTATTGTTATTCATTGTTATTCATTGTTATTACTGATTATTCGATCATTGTTATTCAGTTATTATCGGCTCGTGACTGTTATCACACGATTATCGATCAGCCATTATTATCACTACCATTTATTCGAATATTATTACTTTTTATAACAATTATAGTAATATCTGCTCTACAATCGTATGATAATAGCCGCGAGAATAACTGAATAACGGTGATCGAATAATCGGTAATAATAACAATGAATAACAATAACTGGGCAATGGCAATAATAGCTGATTAAAGACGAGGTAAAGAAATTGTCGTAACTCGGCACGCTCGAGTTAGTTTCCTATGCGTAATAGTAATAATTAAATAATAACCGAACAAATTAAATAACAATCAAACAAAGAAGTAATAATACTCGAATATTAAATGCTATTAATATCTATTCGACAATCGTGTGATAATATCCGCGAGCGGATAATAACGAAATAATGATGATCGAATAACTGGTAATAATAATACCTGGGTAACGGCTCTAACAAAAACTGTAGGCTCTACAAAGGCTAGGTAAACAGACTCTCGTAACAACCTGCTCGTGACTGAGCGGTGTTTG